CATTAGCACCTCTAGTAATATATTTACTGAGAAAAATGGTGATGTGTTCAGTACTTATTTTACCCGCTGTATATTTAAAAACACATTTTTTGCTGTCTTTGTCTTTCTGGTTAGTTTGCTGTAAGTGAACTGAATCATGGGATATTGTTGGGTGTGTAGGRTACTCAGATGCAGCCTAAGTWTWTKGGGGTTTTGTAGACTATGAATTGGAAYAGARCAGTGACGTAACTGGCCTACAAATGCACCCTACATTAGCTGCAATCCCTGATTTGAGACACAGCTACAGACTAAAAACAGCCAAACACAATCAGCATGCCAGTTGTCTTAGATTCACAATTCAACCACTGTTCAGATATTCTGAAGTTAAAAACAGATGAAAACTAGAAACCGTCCGTCTGTCCGTCCGTCCACTGAACACAGAACATCTGAACCACTTCTTTATTTTTTAGCAGAGAAKAAATGCTGACTCACCTTTTGGACAGTAAACATCTGGGGCCCAGCGGTTACACTCGTAGTTGTCTGCGGCGTCTCGACACGTGAAGCACTTGAAGCTGCCGGGGTGAGGCGTGGCTGCAGAAGACACAGAGGCTAATTATGTGGTGGATGGAGTTAATCTGTTGTAAACTTAAAAAAAACAACAACTAAGAAATACATGAAAAGGTCAAATTGATGAAAAACAGAATGTAACGATGACAAAAATGCTCTTACTTGATGGATGCAGCTGAACAATGTCCTGCATGGTGAAGTCCCGTGTTTGGACAGTTTTGAACCGGTCAGAGATGATCACCAGGATCCAGACCACTGTTGGCCAGACGTCCATCTTTCACCTGAGGTGTCTTCATTCAGCGGAGAGGTCTGCAGACACAGAGAGAACAGAGATCAGCATGAGAGGCTCTAAGAAGGACTATAAGTCTGTAAAAGGGCTGTTAGCTCTTAGCTTCATTAGCTAAATGTCAAAGAGGAGCTCAAACTGTTAAACTCAATGATGGCAGGATTTCCCTGCTGGTGTTGAGAAAGATTTGGGCGAAAGGAACAAAAATTTCAGACTTTTCAGCTCAAAGTCATGGTCAGTTGTTGGTTCTGTTCAGGAAAAGGCTTCAGAACATTCTTCAAGATTATAATTCTTTCAAAGGTCTTTTAGATAAGGTATTATACTAAATCTAATTATTGCACAGTTTTTTTTACCACTTTATCACTGTATTACCTCACRACTTGGTTCCATATGACCGGTTTATATAGGTCTATATCTAAACCACGGTGCATCACAAAATACTGATGCTTAGTAACTGTAAAAAGGTTAATTTTCATATTATTTATGGTAAGAAATTTGTCAAAAATCTCCATCCAAATCCATCCTGGAGGGAAACCAAGACTTCCTTCTCCTCAGAGACCCCTCCAGCTCCTCCTGGGAAACCCCAAGATGTTCCCAGACCAAAGAGGAACTATAATCCCTCCAGAGAGTTCTGGGTCTGCTCTGAAGTCTCCTTCCAGTGTCTGGAAAACCTCCAAAGGGAGCCGTCCAGGATGTGTCCTAATCAGACAAACCACCTCAACTGGCTCCTTTAGATCCAGAGGAGCAGCAGCTCTACTCTGAGGGTGGAGTTGAGCCTGGTCCCACCACCACCACCACAAAGGAAGGTCATTTCAGCCGCTTGGATCCAGGATCTGGTTCTTTCAGTCATGGTGCAAACCTCCTGTCCACAGGTGAGAGTTGGAACGTAGACAGACCAGTGAATCCAGAGCTTTGTCTTTAGACTCAACTCTTTCTTCACCACGACTGACCAAAGCAACGTCCTCATTACTGAGGACAAGGCCGCGATTCCTGGATCCACCTCCATCCTACCATTAAGGAACAAGACCAGATACCTGAACTCCTCCACCCGAGGCAGCAAAAACCTCAAGACTAAATGTCAGGAAGAACAAATTCCTAATGTTCTGGAGCTTTGACGACAGAACTWGCTGTGTGGTCCTGGTCCGTCCTGGTTTTGTGGTGCTCTCCAAGGATCCACTGAGCTGTCAGTCACTGAATTAAACACCAGATGACCTGGTTTTTACGGAGGTTAGCAGATTTATGTAAGCTGAGCTCCGGGCTCTGTGTCAGGCTGGATGGTTGTTAATGTTTTGTTTTCTTTACATCATTCATGCTCCAATAAAACTGAACCACGTCTGTTCTGCACCAGAACAGAGAACACAACACAACACTGAGATTAATACACCAAACAGCTGGAACATTAATTATTGTGTTCAGCAAATAAATGCATATTCTAGTGTTTATGAATTGACTGTAAGACTAACCTAAAAAGAGAATTTCAGGCAGCAGATGTTCTGAACCGTGTGTTCACTGATAATTTTATTTAAMGTGATCTGACCCAAACATTTGGCCCCTGAGCCCGAGTCCCATGAGCCCCTGGTTCTGATCCAACAATCCTTATTTAATGACCCGACTCGGACCTAAACGTCAAACCTGAGTGAATAAATTCCTCAGGCGGAGGTTTAGCAGCTCTCTGTTGGTCCCGTGTGTCGGACCACCGGGGACTGCCTTTGATGTCCGGCAGCTCAGTCCTGTGGACCCGACACACGTGGCCTGGGCTTAACGCAGGTCGGACCGCAGCTTCTCTGCACTCAGGTCAGCGCAGGAAACAAAAACCAAAGCACCAGATGTGGCTGAGGTTTGATTTGTTTAGTAACCAGAACCCATTCAGTCCCCGGGGTTCTACATGTGGACCTGCTGAGTCATTTTACGAGAGTCGGCTCCTTTTTATGAGCTCCTCATCCCGTTAAAACATCCCAACAACGTGCCTGAAGAAAAAGGTCATGGCAAACCAAACWACTCTAGAAAGTGTTGGATCAAAAAACACCTAAAAAAAGAGACAAAATTAAAAATTTCTTCTCCATAGAGGTGCACAACTCTTTATTGAAATTCCTAGAAGAAACATCTGGTAGTATGTTTATACACTGCTCAAAATAAAGGGAACACTAAAACAAYGCACGCTAAGTCCAAGTAAATCAAACTTTTGTGAAGCACATTCAACTCTGTACAGAACAAAGTACTCAATGCGAACATTTCATTGATTAAGATCGGGAGTTAGCGTGCGTTGTTGAAGTGTTCCCTTTATTTTTTTG